TTCCTTGCCTCTGGACTTCCTGTAATATGAGATTACACACATTCTTGTTGTTCAAGTTTTTTTTTTTTGTCATTTTTCCTATTGGTAGCCAAAAATACTGTTACCTATAATGGAAAAATTATTTCAATTCAGGACATACCAGCTATGAGACAAAAGAGAAAAGTGGGTGAATAAGCAATTGGATACATGCATCTGGGACTCAGAGAAGAGGTCCAACCTGGGAACTAAAGTTGTGAGTCATCAGCATACAGCATGTTGATGAGATGGTCTAGGGGAGGACAAGATATGGAGGAGAAGAGGTTGCAGGCCTATACCTTAGGAAAGCCAGCGCTGGAAACCCAGACTGAGAATGAGCAACCAGAGAACTCAGGAGGAAAAAAAGGAGAGGAAGCCAAGAGAAGATGAAGATTTAAAGAGGGAGAATTGGCTAGCAGGCTCCTGCTGCTGAGAGAACAAGACAAAACCTGCAAGTGTCTACTGGGCTTGGTGACGAAGAGGTCACCATTGTTCTGGAATGGTCCCAGACACAGAAGAGGAAGTCAGACAAGTGGGTGATTAGGATAAGGTGAAGGAATGGAATCTGGTTGAAAGAAGCAAAGAAGCTCTTACCCATAAAGAAAAACAGTGAAGTACATTCTTCTGGTCCCACTCTACTGGCCTAGTCCGGTTCAGGTGATATCCCACTGCCCCTTTTCCACAAGACACTCTCTCCTGCTCTGACACATAGTCAATATTACCTTTACATTTGTAACTCATATCCTCAACAAATATTTATTGGGTGCCTGCTGTGTACACAGCACCCTGTTTGGCTTCAAGAAAAATATAAGAAAAGATTAAATGGGGTCTCTGTCTTTTCCCAGGAGCTTATAGTTTTGATTGTGGAGAAAAAAAGGCCCACATCCTGAAACAACTGGACATTAAGTGTAAACATTGTATTTATGAGGTTGCAGGGCAGAGGCTGTAATCACTATTGGTGATCAGAGAATAAAAACTTCCCAGAGCAAGCCTGAAAAATTTGGGCTGGACTATCTAGGCAATTTTCACAGTGGTGGTGGGGGGTGCTCCAGCAGATTCTTAAAGATGGGGGATGTGGACTGGGGAGGGAACTGCTGAAGCCAAGCCATATGTCTGCCAGGATTTTTGGTTGCAGATAACAAGAACTCACCTCAAAATAGATTTTTCCCAGAAGGGGAATTTATTGGCTCCTAGAGTTGAGATGTGCCTGGATCCAGGAATTTAGAAAAGGTCCTCCCCCACCTTCCCTCTGAATGCTGGCGTCTCTGTTCTATGGCAGAACAGCCTCCTCTTGTGATGGAAGCATAGTTGTCAGCAACCTGGGCTACAGAGACACTTGAGGGTGAAAATGGGGTGCTGCTAATAGTTTTCTTGGGACAATAGGCATAAGCTGGGACCCTGCTAGGAAAACTGGGTCACGAGATTACCATAAACTAATGTTCACTCTGTGACCACTGTCTGACAGCCCTGCCGGAATCACATGAAATGAGGGAGGGACGGTACTCCAAAGACACTGTGCCATTACCAGATGAAGGAGGGACAAGAATGCTGGAATCCTAAAAACGATGGTATCCACTATTCATCATGAGTTGGCAATTCAGGGGAAAGAAGAGAAATAGACCAACGAGTAATGCACAAATTTCAAAGTTAAGCTTACTAGATAAAGATAGAAGATTTAGAATTTGAGGGAGAGAAATCTGAACTTCATTTGACTGGTAAAGAAGACAGAACATTGTCCAAGGAAGTTGTACATATGACATGATGTACAAAATGTACATATGACATTTGTACATGATGTCTGGGGAGACAAATCTAGGAATGAGTTTCAGGATATTTGAGAGGTTCAGAGAGGAGCTAGGGTTGTATGGCTGGAGTCCTGAACTGTTGAGGGTGCTGGTATGGTGGAGGGAGCTTGTATGGTGAAGAAAGGGATATAAATTCAGGACGTAGGTGATGAAAACAAAAAGAATCAGGAGACCTCCTTGACTGATTGGGCATGAAGGACTGAGAAGAAACAGGCACACCAGTTCAAGCTTGGAATCTGAAGGAATGGGGAGGTTTTCAAGGGTAGCAATTTGGCAGTGAGGCAGGTCTCTTGGGGTCATGTTGAGTTCTGACAAAGTCGTATGAATGGGGAGGACACAGAATTAAAACTGGAATACTCTTTAAGGCCAAGATAATGAATAAAGTGTCCCCAAAAGAGAGTAAGAAGTGGCTGGAGTCAGGTGTGAGGAGGGCCTGCAACTAGGTAACAGGAGGAGAAGGAGGAAATAGAAAACCTATAGCAGGATTGGAAAAGAATACTGAAGCAGAGTAGAGGAGAGGCCACAGGTGACAAGCAGCACCCTGTGCTGTGCTGAATTCCACATGAGGACCAGAAGCCTGTAGGAGGTTTACCTAGATGAATATTTACAACTTTGAAGAATAGTCTTATATGGTCTAACATTCAGGATACTTGGGGTTATGCTGTGTAACAGACAATCCCAAAGTCAATGCAGTTGAAAACAACAAAGGTTTATTCCTGCTCAGATGTCCTGTCCCTGATGTATACACAAAACCTGCTCCACGTTGTCCTCATCTCCTAAGCCTGGGATGACAGAGTGATCAATACTGGAAGTCTTGCTAGTTGCCTAGGCAGAAAGAAAAATTTGGCCACAAGAGCTTCCCACTGGTCTTAAATCCTCCTGCCTGGAAGTCTCAGAGCTCACTGGTTGAAGCCAGGCCCACACCCCAGCAGGGGGTCCAGAAAGCACAGTCCCAGCAGTGCCCAGAAGGGGAGAACTGAAATATTTGTCCATGAGGAACAATGATTAGTGTGGTGGTAGAGGTTGGAGGTGAGGCTGTAGGAGGGGAGCAGAGGAATTCACTTATCTAATGCTCAGTTGTATATCTGCTCTCCTAGAGATATAATTCTTGTGTTAGACCATAATCCCCTGAGGACAAGGACTGTGCCCTTTAACCCTTTGTCAATGGTGCTTATGCACCTCATCGTGTTAGGTATGCTCCTTCAGGTGACAAAACTAGAAAGAGATGCTCCGATGACATCAGCACTTCACCCTAAGGACTCTCAGGGAGGAAGGGGAAGTGTCTTAGTGCAGCCTTAAGAGAAGGAAATGTGTCTCCTCAAATTCTTAGTGGCCACATAGACGTTTACATGGGGTGGCCTCATAATGAGTACAGCAATGACTTAAACTCAAGTAAGGCCAATTTTCCTACTGGAGACTGTCGGAGGAGCACTAGGAGCAAAGACCTGCTGGGTGGGATCGCTGACCCCTGCTGCCAGGGCTGCAGATGGCAGCCAGTATGAGTACTCTGTCCTCTAAGTGACATCGTTGTAGGTCTCTGCAAAGGCTTTGGCTCTGTGAATCTGAGAGTCACAGAGGGAGGCATGATACTTTGAGTCGAAATTGCCAACAGAAATCAAATTGTATTCCGCCAGACATGTGAGCAGAGCATAAATATTTCATAGACACGAAGTCAGCTAGACAGAGATTTTAATTCCAGAAAGTGATCATAAGGTAAACTACAGGAGATGCAGCTTATGATTTGCCTCATGACATATTTTTAAGTAAGCAAAAGCCCTGTGGAATAAAAATACTATTGCTCAGGTTCCCTAGTGAATGGAAAGCAGTTGAGTAGAGCAGAGGTGCACTAATATTTTCTTTCTCCATCTCGTAATTTTGTGATGTGTGGTTATCTAGCATATGGGACCCTTTGTATCATAGAACTTGTGTCACATGACTCTTCCTTAGTCCATCCTTCAATAACAAACCAGGGCAAGGTCTTCTGTTTCAATATCTTTCTATATATTGTTAGAAATGACCTTGGAGAACCCTTTGCTCAGTGCCCATTGAGCCCCCAACAGTGAGGAGCTAGTGCCTGCTTGTTCGTAATTTTCCATGTAAAATGTGGTATATGACTGGAAATGCAAAAGCAAAATTAGTGAAAAAAAAAAAAAGTGAAAGGGAGCCTGCGTTGAAAATGTGGCAGAAACACTCACCCTTGTGAGGACCTTTCAAACCTCCTGTTAGAATGATTCCACCAGTGTCACCACACAAGCAAAGCTGTGCCTGGACTTCCTTTAACCTCCAGCATCACATCCTTTGCATGTGGCACTCACCTGTTGCCGTGAGATGGATCCAAATGCTCTTCTCCCCACTGTGAGGAATCTTTGGGTCCAGTGGGTGGTCGGAGTTGGAAACCTCTGGAAATGATGTTGTATCCTTGGTAGACCACGCTGTTGATCGTGGGTCTCCCTGAGTGGGTGACAGTGGAAGACAAGCAGGGGCGGTACCAGGCCTGCAAGGAAGACTTGGGCAAATGAATGTGAGTGGGGAACTGGGAATTCCACACAAATTCTGTGGCTCATTTAGCAGTGCTTACTTGCACTTGCTTCTTGGTCTTCAGTAGTGTTAATGTTTGAGGTGCCTGGGTGGCTCAGTGGGTTAAAGCCTCTGCCTTCGGCTCAGGTCATGATCCCAGGGTCCTGGGATCAAGCTCCGCATCAGGCTCTCTGCTTGGCAGGGAGCCTGCTTCCTCCTCCTCTCTCTCTGCCTGCCTCTCTGCCTACTTGTGATCTCTGTCTGTCAAATAAATAAATAAAATCTTTAAAATTAAAAAAAAAAAGAAGTTTTAATGTTAGGGGGAGCTGGCCCAGGGATGCAGGCCCCTCTGAGCTGGCTTTACAGCTCTTTTATCAAAATAATTTTAATTTAAAACTTAAAGGTGGCGCTCCCTTTGTCTGCTTAATAACAAGATTTTGATTTCTTTTGCAAGCCTGTCGAGAAAGCACCCAGTTGCTGAATCTTGGAGCAGAGCAGCAATGGCAGCTGTCCTCACTACTTAATGGGAAGCAAGCCCCCCTTTCCGTTCCCTTATTTCCACAGAGGGAGGCATGAAAGTGCCTTGTGGGCTATATACACTACCCTGAAATTGAAAAATCTGTCAACTTCTATAACTACAGGTAAAACTATCTTGATTCACAGAGATGTCACCATGCAAGGATATGGCCACTTGTATCGAGGCATCAGGTTGCTGTCTGAAATGGAGAGGAGCATATAGCAGTGTAAGGTAGGGAACAGCACGTTATTTCGAATTTAAGTCTTTATGCTGTACCAACTGGGAGAAATAGGAAATGTGTTTTTAACTGATTGTTTGTGGCCACCATCTCCATCTTTGGGCATCACGGGACATCATTCTCACGTGGCTTAGAAAATCTTCCTGTTTTCACATAGCAATGGTTATACTCACTCCACAGCATTGTGGCATTTCCACTTTAGCACTGGTGTTCTTTATTTTTAAATGTCACCCTGATCTGGTCACTGCTGAGGATCCCTAGTCTTAGGACCATGAGAACTCAGGAAAAAGAATCTAGTTCAGGATGAAATAACAATGATGCAGAGTCTCCAAATTGTTTCCAACTTTGTATTGGTTTCTGAGTGGGTTCTGAATAAGTAATAATCATCCTGATTTCCCAGTGACTTGATGTTCCATTTCTGGCCAGGCCCTTTGCTACCCCCTTGAATCGCTGTGTTAAATATTAAAGCCGCCTGCGCCCTGGCGGCTTCATCCTGGAGGCAGCGGCAGGGTTTTTGTGGAATAACTCCTCCTGGTTGGCTGCTGGATTTGTTCATTAGTTTAAGCCATGCATATTGGCTAGGACTGCAACATTGTCTCTTTTTGCACAAATACTAGTTTTAAATGAGGAGGAATCAATGACCCATCAGCCAGCCCTGAGGAAAGGGAAGGCTCTGGTTCTTTGCAGTTGCCACACCTAGTGCTGGGCACGGACCAGGTGGGCTTTGGGACACCCTGTGCCTTCCTCCCTTCAGCCCGGCAGGAACATTTAGGCCATCCCTGCCAGGGATCTGTTGGAGGCCTGCTTCATGCAACATACTTCACTGGGTACTGTCAGGAGGGCGGGGAAGCATGAGATTTGAGCTTGAAAGCTGCTTGGAGAGTGAATACATGTATATTTGACAACAACAACAACAACAAAACCCAGCAGTCCAACCCCAAAGCAATGCCCAGTGCAGAGAGGATGAGTCATACGGACGAGATGCTGTGGATGTCTGCAGGATGGGGAGCAGTTATACAAGGTGAGTCTTTGACAAGGACGTGAACTTGGAAATATGTGCAGGGGAGAAGGGGGGTCACACTGTGGGCCTGGCATAGGGGGTGTAGACTCCGCAGCAGAGCCCAGCGATGTCAGCGGGCAGTGCTCACCCTGAGGGCCCTGCTGCCGGGGCGAGTCTGCTCTGGGCCTTGGAGTCTTTGAGGAAAACCGCCCTCCTGAGTCAGATTTGAATGAAGGGCCTGACCCTGCACTCTTTTCCCAGAGGGACTCAGGTCTGTTTTCAGTGTTGTTCATACAGACTTTGTTCTTTTGAGATCAGGAATCGTCCTTTTTGTTACTGCCAGTCCAGCCCCATGCCAGGCTGAGCTGGGTTGTTGTGGCCATTCCAAAAGCACTGTGGGTAGATGAAAAGAGTTGTGCCTGAAGGGGAAGAAGAAATGAGGGAAGGGGGAAGTGTGTACTTGGAGGGGGAGGGAGGAAAGGGGCAGGTGTGGACCTCCCAGGCAGTAGTCCCTGCCAGCCGCGCCCCGAGGCCCAGGCAGCACCAGGGGCCCCCTGGAGTATTCTTTGGAAAGAGCTCCTGTGTCCTTCTCTGCCAGCAACTGAAACTATAAAAACAGATACTAATTGTAGCGATAAATTTCCAGGCCCTTCCCAACAGGCCTTTGGGTCCCAGGCAGAGGGGTGCTGACCTCCCCAGCAAGACAGCTTGGTGGTCCGCTCCCTCAACTGACAACCTCTGGCTGCTCAGTGAACAGCTCCTGGCGAGAATTCAGCTTAGCAGTTGGAGTCCGTGTTTGGGTGCAAGTCATATTTGGTAGGGGGCATCCCAAGCACTTTAGGACCTTCCTGCACCGCCAGCAGGGCCTGTCCGTGAGTCGGGCAGGCACCAAGGCATGAATAGAACCCCAGTCTCTGCTGCTTTACTCTCAGAGAAGAACCAGTGGTTCAGTGGTTCAGGGAAGAAGCTTATCCCTGCCCCCACCACATGCACAAAACCCCAAAGATTTAATGAGGAATTTGGAGTTCTGTCCTGTATTGGCTCCATTTAAGGCTGAGGAGGAAGCTGGGGACTCTCCCATTTGGGGCTGCTCTACTTTTTGATGGGCAAGTGGACCAAGGGGTCTAGAGCACGTCACATGGGCTCCACCATGTGGCCAATTTCCTTTTCTATCCAGACACCCTCAGGCCTTTCCTACCACTGCAGACAGGGCAGAGAGGACCTCCTCAAAAGCATCTGAGCAGTTTGTAGTGAGTGCCAAGGACAGACACAGTGGCAGAAATACGAGATTTGATGGGGGGCTGCTGCTCTGTGTGTGACCACGTGAGGGGGCAGTTGGACACGTAGATGGCCACACATCCCTCAGCCAGACACAGCTGGGCTCTCCCTGGGTCTCCCTATGATTAAATCCTCTCTGGCCTGGGATGGTGTTTGCAGCCCTGACCACGAGTGCTGGTAGTTGGGAGAGGGAGAGCCGGTCAGTTGGTCACTTGGCTGCGACAGGCTGGTTTTTCTGTCCGTGGTACAGCAGCTGCAACTGCAGACCTCCTGCCCGTCCTTCACTCGCCTGTGTGGAGCGGAACTAGCCGCCCTTCTCCTGAGAGCAGGTGGTGCTCGTGCGTGCCTCGTGCTTCTCTTGATTCGTCACATCGCTTGTCACTGACTCAGCGTGTCCAAGTGCCTCCCGTAAGCTTGCTTGGAGCACGCCTGAAACATGCCTAGGATTGGAATCCAGTCCTGCTGAGTCTAAGCATGAGGGAGGACGAAGTTACAGGACGCTGAGTCCGCACATGGAGATTGAAGCAGCCGAGATTTCACGAAAGGCAAACAGATCCAGCAAGAAGGGAGTACAGCTCTGTAAAACAGGCACACACAAGGGCAGTTACGCATCAGCTTCAGGCGCGCACTTTAAACAGCTGTAAGTCTTCCTAACCTTGCCAATGGTGGGGGGGCGAGAATCAGGCGGGGAGGCAGGCCGTATGTGCTATGTACACCGTGCATTGAAATTAAGTGTCGTGCGCACAGGACCCCATTCCTTTCCATTCTGCCTGATATGCTCCTTCAGGGTAAAGGTATAAAACACATTTAAGGTTCTTTACCTCCTTCCCTGCAATAGTAATTGGCAGTTACTCAATCCCCGTGGGCATCATAAATAAGGAGCACACCAAGAGACTTGGTTGCTGCCATTAGAACACACTGGCTTTAGCTGGATTGAACTAGAGTCAATAGTCGTGTGGCAAATGTAACGGTGTGCCAGTGGTAAAATCGTCCCACTTAATGCTCTAATTTTGTCACAAAGGCTGGGTTTTCTCCTGGCTAAGCAAATGGAGTTTGTGTATTGACATGTTTGCGCTCAAAGGAGTGAGTCACAAGATAGGTTGTCTATGTCAGGGCACCCTGAATACGTGCTATACTGAATTCTGGAGCCTCATTAGTAATGGCAATAGAGGCTGTGATGTATTGCCTCCTACGTGGTAAATAGAGGAAGCAGACCAACCTGTGAGTGTTTGCTGCTCTCTTGATAAGGAATGGAATTTATACTGACAGCACGTGGTTACTTGAGTTTTATTCTATTGTGGCAAAAAGCACATGACATAAAATTTACCATCTTAACCACTGATAAGTGTGCAGTAGTATAATTATGTGCACATTGTGCAAATGATCTCCAGAACTTTTCCATCTTGCAAAACTGAAGCTCTGTCCCATTAAACACTCACTTCCCATCCCATCCCCAACCCCTGGCACCCTCTCTTCTTACTCTCTGTCTCTGTGAATTAGTGACTCCAGGGACCTCATGTGAGTGGAATCACAAAGTATCTGTCCTTCTGTGTCTGGCTTATGTCAATGAGCATAATGTCCTCAGAGTTTATCCACCATGTAACAGGTGTCAGTGTTTCCTTCCTTCTTAAGCCTGAATACACCCTCGTGCAGGTGGACCACATCATGTTTATCCACTACCTCACTGATGGATACTTGGGTTGGCTTTTGTGACTCGTGCTGCTATGAACTTGGGTGTGAAAATCACAGCTGATGGGGTTCCTGGGTGGCTCAGTCAGTTAAGCGTCTTGACTCTTGATCTCAGCTCAGGTTTTGATCTCAGGGTTGTAGGCTCAAGCCCTATGTTCTTGGAGCCTACTTAAAAAAGTAAAAAAAAAGAAAATCACAGTTGCATGTTTTTAAAAGGAAAAAAACCTTGATTTTCTGACTAAGAACTTTCTTGACTATTAATGTTCTATGGCTAACATGTGAAAGGAGTACACCCGGCATTTGTACTGCTAATATGTTAACATCCTTGCAGAGGCAGTGCTTTAATGGTTGTAGATAAAACAACAACCTTGCTTCAACCTGCCCTCTGTGAGGCTCAGCACAAGTAGAATAAACCATCTTTTAAATTCTCAGTGGCCATAAAAATGGAGACAAGTTTTGGTCCTCAAAACAGAAAAACAAGTCTTGTAGGCAGGTGATTTGATGAAGGAGAAGCAGGGATTGCCTGTTGTTGGCCTGCTCTGTGTCCCTGAGGCAATAGTCCTCAGGGAGGCTGAAGGACAGAAAGGCAGCAAGAGGTCTCAGCTGAGGCAGACCTGGGGCACGGAGCCCTCAGCTCCACCTGGACCCTGGGTCTTGCAGTCCCTGGAATATCTGAGTAATTCCCTTTCCTCAGTGCCTGAGAGTGATCAATGACTGTGGGTTCTTTTGGGGGAAAGCCCAGAGACATGATGACAGTTTGCATTTGCTGTGGTTTGTGTCATTCATTCCTCATAAGGACCTAGCTTCTCCTTTTGGCACAGGTCCAAGACTAGCTCGGATCTGGAAATGGAGCAAAGGACTATGACTTCTCTTTGGGATGGCTTCCCTTAGCCCCTGTTATCCATTCAATAATGACTTCTCTTGATTGTGTAATTCGGTAATGTCTTATTGGCTGCCCACCTTTCCCTTAAGAATACCACATTTTATTAATCATCTTCATGGCATTGTGCAGGTCACTCCCTCCCTCTTCAACAGTCCAGCCTTGCTGCTCTTACAAGAATTGCACCTACCTTGCTTTTGATTATTAAGTGCAGCCGCCTATGATTCTGGGATCCTGATATCCTTGTTGCTGTAAGGGTCCATTCTATGACAGCATCTCCTTTGCCTGCTCTGGCTTACAGAGCACAGACACTGCTGAGCTCCTCAATGATGGTGGTGCCCCCACCAGCTCAGTCCTTATTGACCTGATGAATGGAGTTTCTCTGAGTCCTTCTGGGAAATGTGGTTGGCTGGTGTTTTGTTTCCAGCCTTATGAGGTATATTCACATTGCATGCCCGCTTCTCTGAGACTTGATTTCTTCTTCCACTATTTGCTACAGCAGTTATGACATTTATGTTTCAATTAGTGCGGGTCATCACTTTTTCCAAACTTCCAAGAATCTTCCTAGATGCAAATTCCCACTGCCTCCCAGTGTGTTAAATCCTACGTCCTGGGAAAGTATTGATTAACCCATGTGATATTCTGCCCCTTGATCCAGCATATCTTGATGGCACATCTTGGCAACATTGTGCAGCTCCTTCAGGGTTCAATCTCTTTCTTCCTTGGCCAGGCCCAGCTCTTCCTTGGCTGGGTTAAATTGTGATTTGAACCTTCATGTCAGCCTGACAGCCAGAAGGGAAAGTGGGGACTATAGCCTTGTTAGGGTGAAGTAGACCACTACTGCAAACCTAGAGCATTCAGAGGGACCTGGGGTTCAAAGATTTTTGAGTGTATCAACCTAGTTGTTCACACCCCAAGTTTCAGGGTCCCCCTCCTTCTAGTTGGGACCCTGACCTTAGCATAAGGGATTTGCTAGGTTTGAGAATTCAACCTTTTCTGGGTCTCTGCTGACCATATCATTAAGTCTTGGGCCTGACTCT